GGGAAGATGTGTGAAAAACCAAGCGGCGGCGGCGGCAGATCGTGCGCCGTGAGCAAGCCGAGAACACCCGCCCGCCACCTTAGTTCAACCGTCCTACCCGCCCGCCCACCATCAAGTCGCGCACAAAGGACTACTCGCGCACGCCCCGTGTACACCTTCCGCATAATAACACACACACGCATACACACGCGCGCGCGCGCGCACGATGTTGATGATAATAATAATAATAATAATAGTAGTAGTATGTACGGAATATACACTTTGTAGTAAATCCCGTTGTTGTATACATTTTACTACGCCCGGCTCCCCCGACCCGAAACCGTCATCACCACCAGCCTCCCCCGCCGCACCGTTCGTCGGTCACGGCCTCGTCACCGCCACCGTACGAACGCGCGTGTTTACGCGACGACTGCGTGCAGTGTGCGCGCGTGCGCCGGCCGAGCCAGCTGACCGTGCCCGCGCTCCGGCCCCGGGGACTGATATCCAGACGATCTGTAGCTGGACCCGTTCAACGTGTGAACGTCTTCGTTTTTCAGAAAATTAAATTCTCTGTACAGAACGAATTTTTTGAGATTTCTGAAACACTGATGCCACGCGCACATCGACGTCTTGACGTTCGGGGGGTTAGTTAGCGCGCGCAGTTCAAAACTATAATGCTCGTCGATCCACCGATTTACGGGAGAATTTAAGTATGGTGATTGGACGGGAGACGCCAGGGCCGTATTAGCCATTAGGCACTATAGGCACTGTGCCTAGGGCCCACGAAAATCTGTGGCTACAATTTTTTTGTCATATATTTTTTTTAATTTGTTTATTTGTTATTATTATAAGTTATTACACATATTAGCACAACAAGTAAAATATAATGTATATAAGAAATAACGCCTTAATCGCGTCCTTGTCGGTCAACGACGATACTCATTGACAATATCTTATCTTGGTCTGTAGCACTACCGGTACGCGCACCGCCGCACCATCGTCGTCCCACGAACGTTGAAGTATATATTTTAACAGCGATTATAGCGAGCGCCGAACGACGAACAGCAGTTAGTGCTACACAGTGGTCGCCGGCACCTCACCTAGCGTCCCCCCTCCCCCACACATTTTATGACTGGCGGGCAGCGGTGGCGTTGTTGTTGTTGTTGTTGTTTAGTGAATGAATGCGCGAGAATACGCGTGCGTACAAAAAGGATCGCCGTGAAAGGGCGCGTGGGCCTGCCCCCTGACACAATATATTATACCAGGCGTCGCTACAGACCGACGCGCGCACATATAGATTATAACATAACATTATTATTATACCGCGTTTTTACATACCATGTACTAAGTACGTATGCAGTACGATGTGAGACGTCTGCGTTAAGATATTTTTAATGTATCATATTATAATAATGTTATGTTCTATCTATATTGTACGCGTCATCACAAAATCGTATAATTCGTACGGGCAGTGCTTTAAGTGTGGGGAGGGGAGGTCACGAGGGTCCCCTACCTCTGAAACCGATTAAATCCTGTCCCCTTAAACATATTTTACTCCAAAAACTAAAATTTATGTGTGTATGCTGCATACGATCGAATATGACGACTCCAAATAATATTATTGCCTTTGTTTAAAATATTTATTCACTGTTCTGCAAACATATTATGTTATTTATATTTTATTTTTTCGAAAATGATTAGGCATTGCCCCTGCAGCGTATACGTGTATAATTGGTTACATCGACGATGTAATAATAGGTACTATAATGATCAAAACGACATATTATACTATGTGATAAAATTGATAAAAATGTACGTCCGTAGAATTCATAACGTTGATTGTGTATTATATTTTATATACCTACTAGGTCAGTTTCAAATTATAAGAATATGAATATTTAGACGACGCCCGTGGGCCGTGTTCAGTTTGTACCTGTTGAGACGCCATCCCAACATACTCGCGGTAAGAACTGTTATGTACGGCTATAGCTATACTCGTATGGTGCGGCTATACAAATAGCCTGTGCTCAAGAAACAATAATATCAAAATCACATAAAATAGTTAGACACGTAGTGTTATAACTGTACAAGTGTATACTCAAAATCCCTCTGCAGTCAACACATATAAAAGTATAAAACATAACTTTAGTCTTTGTTCTTTAACACAGGAAGTCGCTGTCTACTTTATGTTTTCATATTTTTATATCGGAATACAATACATGAATACGTTACACTTGTCTGTGTAACATATATGTTAGTGTATACACTGCTTTACTACTCGAAATTTTTCTGTTAAACCGGTATAGATGTGAAGTATTTATTTACAAGACGCATTGGTTTAGACGAGTTAGAGTTCAGGACAAACGTAATACGTGGTGGACGGTGGTTAACCATTTTTACATGTAGTTTATGATGTTGTTTTTTTTACTGTAGTTGAAAGCCTATTGGGTAAAAGTATATATTTTTTTTTGACCTTGATTTGAATACTCAAAAATGTCTCTATAGTCTACATATAACCTCGTTAACATGCATAACAAATTGTTATTAACAAAATATATATTATTTTATACTATACATATAAATATTAAATCATTTTATATAATTCGTATTAACCCATTTTAGTAACACGATCTGAGTTTGGCGTTTGCAGAGTATTTAAAAATGTTTACTGTCCTAACATCAAAAACTTAATTTATTTAAAAATCATGATTAATTATTATCAATTAATATATATTATATAAACCTAATGTAAATAATAATAATTAATAATTTTTTTTTTAAGCTATAGGTAAGTCCTTCGACATAAGTAATTAATAATTATTGATCACTTAGTGGATTAAGCACCCAAACCCTACTACATTGGTACGTCTGTATAGTCAAATAACTAATGAGTGATTATAACGTTGGACTTGAAATTTTAGAGAAATGTAATTAATAAAATATGTATTTAAATTTATCTATATATCGATATATAAATATATCGATATATCTTAGCATATTAAATATATATATATTCAAATTGTTTTTAGTTTATAATAATAAATATTATATATTATATAAATTTATTTTATTTCTCAATTTTAAAATATTATACACCAATTTATTAATTAAAAACATAAATTTACATTTTCATTTTAAATATTAGAGTAATAATATGTTTTTATTAAATAAAAATAAAAATAAATGTCTAGACAAACATTGAAATATATGTCTAATAATGTAATAGATTTTTGTTGTTGAATACTTTTATTTAAGATTTTATTTTGGATTACTTGAACCTTAGAAAATTAATTTAAACTAGAACTAATTCATTTATAAAATTAACAATCATTCCATAATTTTATCAATGATTCTAATGATTCTATCGATAATTAATTATCATATATTATACGTATTATGCTCGTACAAAGTAACCTACACTGGCTATTATTTTAAAATGATAATACACTATACAGTACACTGGCGTATTGTACTATATACATATAAGTATACATTAATATTTAATATTACCTATACATTTAAAATTTGTACTTATAGATAACTCTATAGATTTAAATGATTTGATTAAAATAGTTAATGGATCGTCATAAATCAAATAAATAAAACTTGTATAGTGATTATTTTAACTTCAACTAAATGTGATAAATAAAATAAATTATATTACTCAAAAACATAAGTAAGCTGTAGGTATCTAAATAAAAGCTAATAAAAAGATTTATTTGCAATATAATTAATTATTATAGTAGAATATACTATTTAAGTATAATAAATTTTAATCAAGTTAAATTATTATAAAATTTCTTTATAAATAAGAAGCTTACATTAAAAATAAAAATAAATGTTTATCTAAAATAAATAAATGTACAGAGCCTAAAGGTACTTATTTAAGTATTTTTTTCATAAGTTATTTATATACTCATAATAGTGGAATTTGTATCAATATGTTAATAAGTATATTTTTTAGTTAGATATAATTGTATTTAATTCATAAAAATATAAAAAAGACCATTACTTCATATTTTCTTAGATACCTATATAAATAGCCAAATAGTCAATAGGTATCATTGTATTAATACTATCAATCATAATATATCTTAAGACTTTAGTAGACAATAATTAATAAATAATGAATCATAAAACTTCGTTTCATACACGATACGTTAATATCTAGTTGTCATTTGAAGAAATAAATAAAGTGCCCGAACTTTTAAAAAACTACTAGAACCAAAAATGGTATGTGGGCCTGTCTACTTACCTGGATAATATCTATTTTAAAATTATATGTAAGCTTGATTGCTTCAATTATTATATCAAAATAGATCTTAGTGCAGGGGTCGGAAACCTTTTTAACCACACAGGCCATTTTTTTTTCAATTGTTCATCAAGGGCCACATTAAAAAAAAAAAATTACATATTAAGATATAATACTTATAATTGTATTGCTATTATGAAACGGTTAGATTATATTTTATTTATAAAGGAAAAAGAATTATATAATATTGAAAATTATATGAAAAATGTTATTGAACAAAAGTAAAACATAAAAATTAACCACCTTTGTGCGGGCCATTAAAAATTGCTTTGCGGGCCGCGGGTTGCCGACCCCTATCTTAGTGGATACATATTTATTTCATTATTTAGTTTTTATTAGGTGACAGGTAACAGCCAACAGGTGTCTAAGAATTAGAAAGTATAAACTTTAATTAAACATCAACGAGAATTTAAAATTTATTAGTTACAAAAGTTACAAATTGACTAATATTTATTAGCCTAATTGGGTAATAGACATTAGACAATAATATAGAGATAAATTAATCACCCTATGCACTATGTAGATTGCAGACATGTAGCTTATAAGTTATAATGAGTCTTGATATGACTAAACTTTTCTTTTTAGTACTAAAACACAATTGTTACGTTGGCCAATCTGCTTATCTGTTTATGTTTCAAACCGCAATTGATAAAACACACGTGAGTACCAAGGTTTATAGATAATTTGATAATGATAACAAGCAAAATCATTAGCTACTTTTTTTTACAATTGTTTAATGCCAGTGCACAACTCTAAACTACAATATTATTGATATCATATTAAATATTTGACTATTTACTACTACTTATTTGTGTTTTGTGTTTGACGTGACTCTAGTTTTTTTACAGTTTTCATAATGGTAAGTACTTAATTTTAATTGTATTTAACAATATTATATGTATATATATATACTTAGACCCAAAATGTTACAAATATTATTATTTCGCACTTAATTGTTGATTATATTTCACCATAATATATTTCAATGTTCAATAATTACAATATATTTACTATTTTTAATTATCTAATTTTCCTTCTGGAAAAAATAGAGTTTTTTAATGGATTGTTCCTTGCTCATGATTATCGACTGTAGATAATGGTGTCCAAAAGTAAACACTTAAGCAAAAGTTATTCAAGAGGTTGCAGAAGTTTAAAAATGTTAATCTATATTAATTTCATAGTAAAAATATAAGAAATTGTATGTATTTGTTTGTGATAAAATGTCTGTTTACTTTAAAATTAATATATTATTTGCTCTGTAATAAAACTCCTGCCTCTAATTAACTAATAAATTAACCAATACAACAAATTGCATGCCTAAATTTTAGTCATTATTAAAATTACATGTATTGCTTTCAGACTAAAACCAAAAAAAGTAAAAAAATTCTTAACAAACAATTTGCTGTTATGAAGAAGACAATCAAACCAACAGACACGAGAATGTATATAGTTGTATGATCTTAAAAAACCTATTATTCATTTTATAATAATGTTTCTTTTCTAGAAAAGAAGAAAAACGAACTATTATAAAGAAAAAATTAAATGAAAATAAAACCGTCACCGTTCGTCAAGTGTAATTATTGAAACTTAAAAAATTATGATACAATTTATTCATTGTATTACTATTAATTCATTTTCAGAGCTCAAACAAGTTCAGCCTTGTTTTTCCAGTTTAACACACAGTTAGGACCTCCATATCACATCTTAGTAGATACAAATTTTATCAGTTTTTCTATAAAATATAAAATGGATGTGGTTCAAAACATGATGGATTGTCTATATGCTAAATGTAAGCAAGCCATATTTCATTTTAATGTTTTAATGTTTCTATGATAGTTTAAAAACATTTCTCGTTTTCTAGGTATACCATATGTAACAGATTGTATTGTTGGTGAGTTGGAAAAGTTAGGACAAAAGTATAAAATAGCATTAAAAATTGTTAAAGACCCACGATTCCAAAGAATACAATGTATGCATCCAGGCACATATGCTGATGATTGTTTAGTCCAACGAGTAACCCAGGTAGATGATTAATATGAATCTATTTATAAAAATAAAAATATTAAATATTAGTTTATAGTTAATAAAATGCATTTTTGTTTTTAGCATAAATGTTATATAGTAGCTACATGTGATAGGGATTTAAAGAGGCGTATTAGAAAAATTCCTGGTGTGCCGATTATGTACATTGCCCAAAGAAGGTAAGTTTACTGTGATTTTTATTTGTATTTTCTCTAATTATTTTAATATTTTTCAGATATACCATTGAAAGAATGCCTGATGCTTATGGCGCTCCTAAAAAATAATATGTAATAAAACATTTATCAATCATTTAATAAATATTTATAATATTTTAATGACTTTAGTTTTTTAATTTTAACAAAATTAATATTTATATTTTTGTATACAATACAAAATAAAATATACTGACTAGTAATATAACTATTAATTGAATATGATTATCATGTTAAATTAGGTCTTTAGGTTATTACCATTTTGAAGTTACTTTCTAAGTATAATATTAATAAATAACGAATAAAATTAATTAATTTATATTAACTTATAATGTTGTGATAGTTAGAATATTTTAATATAAAAGATTAATTTGATATTGGTCTAGTTTTATAAAATAATATAGGTTGTTGAGAACTCGTCACATTTTAAAATTAGTTTCAACAGTTGATAATTTATGATGAGATAAGATTTACATAATAAATGAATAGCATTTTATTGGTTAGAACTTAATTTTAATAATGTATAGCATAATTAATTAAAATTAAAAAAGAATAACTTTTAATATTTTTTGATATTCACACAAAATACGTGTAAAACTAATACTACATCACTGTTGTGATTAATATTCATTAAAATTCTATTTGGAACAAATATTTAATGCTATTTAAAAAACAAATTATTTGAAAAAGTAATTTAAACTTCAATCCACAAAGTTTTTTGTTACAACTACTCATTAATTCTATAATAACTAGTAATAATATTTCTTCTTAACATTTACCTACATTTATAATCAAAATATTAATTTAAAGAATATTATGTGATAATTATTATTTATATATATTTTTAGTCACTTTTTCAAAAATGGTATAGAAACTATCTTAAAAATCAAAAGAATTAAATTTATCTTGAAGCTCTATTCTATTTTTAATTACAAAATATTTGTACTTAATGTATCTCAAAAATAATAAGGCTGTAATGTTTACTTTTTATTTAAAAATATTTTTCAATTTGATAAATCTTACTATAATATAATTTTTATTTTTTAGTAAATTCACACTTATATTGATCAAGTAATTTTTGATGATCAAATTGGTGTTTAGAAAATCGAATGTGCAAAATTAAACAAAAATAGTAAACAGAAAAATGCTTAAAAAGAATAGAAATATTGTAAATACTATTATTAAAAAAACCTGGGAACTCGCTATGCAATTATATAATTATAGACATGCTATACCTTAAAAATATTCTAAATATTTGAAATTTCAATAAAACAATATTAAATTATTTTAGGCTAGTCTATAAAAAAAAAAATAATAAATGTTATATTTTTATAGTTTTAGGATTTGATACACTTAAAAACTTTGTATTAAATTTTTAAGTTTATTGGTCGTGCTTAAAAAAAATAATTAATATTTGAAGAAAATTACCAAGATGGTCTATCTCATTAGTCATTAGTAATTTTTACCAAGTATACAATAATTAAGTTTGAAAATAAACAAATTCAGGAATAACCCGAATAACCGAATAAATGAATAATATCACATTATAGTTGTGTACTTGTTATTTGATAATTGATAAAAATGAATTTTCGTTCTGTTGTTCCCTCAATTTCTTTGTTTCTTCCACGATAAGAATGTAATAATATGATAAGAATAATTCATACCGTAAAGAATAGATGTGTAATATCACATGGCAATGTAATTCTTTGCCTCCATAGTCCACCTCCAACCGGTATTCCATAATTTCGTCACCGCTGTTTAATGTAAAGTAAATACTATCAAATACCAACTGTACAAACTACAAACTAATATTTTATGTCCATCCACTCTGTTATAAAATTTAAAATTATTTACAAACACAGAGCACTTATGTTTATTTTTGGTAATAAATAATTATTATTGTACATTGTAGTTGTACCCAAGTGGTCAAGAGTGCTAACTTTAATTTCACAATGGATAACGAAAAAACGTTTGACAAATTACCTGTTGAAGTGAGTATGAATTTGATTATTAATGTAAAGAATACAGATCTTATATCCTATATATTGTACATCATAGTATAATGTCAATAAATCATTGAGATTTGAGAATGCCTGTTTGACATTAAATGTTTAAATTACCATTTAGCTATTACCTATTAATTTTGCTTTTTCTCATATATAATAATACGTTTATGTGAATTGATTATTTTTAAATTCTATTAGTTATTAGTAGCTGTAGCTAAGAATTCATGTCGATATTCATATAATGTGATACATTATGCATTTACTTTGGACACCTATTGAATTTTTCTTTTTTTATTAATATAAATTACTATATTGAGTAAATACACAACTCTACCTACAACTTCTTAAACTTTACTAGGATGGCCACTGAAATATGTAATGAACGTTATTTAATAATTTGACTAGGTAAAAGTATTAATGTGAATTATACATTACCTTACTTAGCTCAACTTAGCTCTTATAATATTTTAAAGCACTTCCAATAATTCTGTTTATAAATACTGATCATGTTTAACTCTTATTTGTTCTTTATACATTTTAATTTGAAATGTTTTTGTCAACAGATGATATCTCACATATTTGAATTTTTAGAATTTAAAGACAAAAAAGTTGCATCAAGTGTTTGTTGGTCGTGGTATGATGCGTCTATTCAGCCAAGGTTTTTAAAAAATGAAGTTATATGTCTAAAAGACATGAATAATGACAAAATTCATGATGTGCTCAAAATATACACCAAAAGCTTGCTCCCTTTTTTTGCGTTTAGGATATGTGGTCTTGGAGTAAAAATTCAAGATGTAGAAGAAGATGATGCAGCAAGTTCAATAAATAAAAATCATTGGAATTGGGTGTACACTGTATGGCCATTGTTAGCCGCCAAAGTCATTTACCTAGAATTTTTTGACACAGTAGAATTTAATGACGACATATTACCTGCGTTATTAAATGTAACTCAACAATTGAAAGTATTGAAAATTCATAATCTTCAGTACAGTTCTAAAAAAGAACTTTATAAAGTAAACAGACTTCAATCACTTGAAGAACTAGTGTTAGATAATCTTCAAACACACAATATCGATAAAAATAAATTACTGGGAATAATACCGGAACAACTTCGTAAGCTTTGTCTGAAGTCTATGTGGAGCAGTAAGTTTATTATTGAAGATTTAACCAATATACTTAAATTTTGTTCATCTCACCTTGAAAGCCTTGAGCTTATTGATGTAGATGTGACACCTGAGTTGATGGAATCAATCGTGAGCCTTAATATGAAGCTGAAAAAGTTTAGCTTATTCCTGGCGGATTCTATGCATTATGACCATGAACCAGAAATAATATTACCACTATTTAAAACACAATGGCCATTAGTTGATTTGACATTATGTGCTGAATGCTTAACTTATGAACATTTATACGTTATTACCAGTACTTTCAAAGACCTAGAAAAATTATCAGTATCTGGAAGATCTGGAACGTCATTTGAAGTCATGGTTGGGATTAGTGGATCATCGTTTGATTCATTAACAAAATTAACAGATTCAATTGATTCACTAACAAAATTAAAATCTCTTTATATCGGAGTTGAGAGATAAAAAGAAAGATGCTTATGGAACATTTTAATAGAACAAATGTTGAATTTGAGAATCAATGATCACTATACTCTGTCCAGCAAGAGGACATGCCACGATCCAACGTTCTGCACATTCTACAAGACACTACCATAGTGGAACCAGTCTTTCCATATGAGGATGTGCAAATTAAATTTTGATTTGACTGTACCTATTGTTTTTTTGCTGAGCAATTTAGTTTCTTTAGATCTTATCTAATTAAGACTGATCTGAATAAAACTATATTTTATAATAATTATAAATTATAAATAAATTAATAAACTATTTATCTTGCATCTAGATTGGAGCCTTACATTTTAAACAGAAATTAATTTAAGACTGTACAATTTATTTAATTGCTTAAAACCAAAATAAATGGGATATGTGAATAGAATTTATCATTATTTTATTTAAAAAACTTAATACTTACCTGTCGTTTAATTTTATTTTAGTCTTATGAAAATATATTTTTCCTGTACAAAAAATTGTGTATTAGCGTTTGCTTTGTTATATTGCTATTTATTTTATAAATCAAGATAAAGGATAAATTCAGTCAATGGAAATTATCAAGTTGCACCTTGGAAGTATATCTTATAAAATATTTCACTATTTGATTGTATTCCATAATTATAAATAAATCCCAATAAAAAAAGCACATTTTTCTCTTCATCCTTTTTTAATGGCGCTGATGTCATCTCGAATTCCTAAGACAAAATTTTATTCAGTAGTATATCTATTACTCACCCCCAAACCACCAGATGTTCATTTTATCACTAATTTATCCTAATTTTACTTTCTGTATTTCTAGTTAATATGTTTATTTTAGTCAATTGTAATTTAAAAATAGTTTTATAATGTATACCTAAGCATTAGGTGTGAAAGTGTCATGGATTTAACAGCTCTGGTACATCTCATTACATTGTGGCTAACCTGGTCCTCTTCTCTTATATCAGATATCCATAACTTTACCATGTTCATATTGTTGGGCCATTCAAAAGTTGTTAGTCATTAGAGTCGATGATTTTTATTTATCCAAGCTGGTTTCATTATCTGTTGTATTTCATATTATTCATGATTCGTGATGTAACATTTAGCAAGACACTTTGGATGGTTGCAGGCCCGGATTAATATTATGTAGGCCCTAGACTCAGATGATTTAAGAAGCATTCTCTTTGAGAGAGGAAGTGTTGAATTTCACTGTTAAGCTTTTTAAAACAAAAGTATTTTTGACATATAAATCAAATCTTAACTTTTTTATATCATAATAATTTTCTTATATACATAATATTTTACTTGTGTTAACGTTTTTGTAGACCCTAGGCATAGTACCTAAATGTGGCTGATACGGTCCTGGATGGTTGTTTTATAAAATTTATTTATGAGCAAATTTTTAAGTCTATTGAGATATGGTAATTTGAAGTCTGGTTAAAAAGTTTTACCGACTTTGAACCTGAGGTATCTTAACTCACCCACTTAAATAACTTATAACATTAGACACAAGTTAACCATAGGATTGGTGACATTGCCTTTAATTATTATTCAACAATAGACATTTTCTAATAAATTGAAAAAGGTATTTGCTTGTCATAAGTTATTCTATTATGGTTGTTTAAGTAGTAACTAAAACAAAAACAAAAATGGCATTTAAAACTAAATATAACTATTGTTCCCTGGGTATATAATTTTGATTTGCATTTTTTTTATTTAACTTTATTACAGTTTGAAATTAATTTTTTGATGTAATGCTCACCACTTGTATTAACATAGAATATAATATAATAATAAATTATTGTTTTGATTGTATAATAAATAATTTATAAAAATGTTATTTATTTAAAAATTTTTATAAAGCATTAATATAAAATTAGTACATACAAATAAGTGTTTACACATTGCATTAAAAAAATAATAATGAAATCTATTTTATATTAATTGTTGAGTAATGTTAGTTATTACAAATGATAATTTTACTATGTTTTCTATTTTTTTTTTTTTTTTTTTATATAAATAATATTTGTTGAAGTTAAAAAAAATTAATACTTATTTGTCAATAAATTCATAAAATATACATTTAATTATAATAATATAAACAGGTGCTACACAAGAAGGAAATAAATAAAAAATATTTAGACAAATAGTAATTTGTATGTGTATTGTTATTATCAAGTAAAAAAAAATTTCCAACAAAAAAATTATTTGCAGTAAAAGCAAATTTATTTTATTATTAAGTTTATGCTTAAAGTTTTACTTTTGATCCAATTAGAGTATTAGGATGTTAGTTATATTATATGTGCAGTCTTTCTTTTGGATCTGAAAACATGAAATTATTCTATAAATAAAAATAATAATTTATTGTCTATATTTTTACTTACCAGAGACATTTTTATATGTTAACATTTCTAATATCCTCTAGTGTTGACCTAAAATAAATAAAATTATTAAGTAAATAACTGATGTTGAAAATTTAACTAAAATTGTTTGTTGAGTTATATTCTACTATTTTAGAATAAAAAACATTACTTACAATATCGTCGATTTTCAAAATGCTGCGTACGGTTTCGGAAGCCAAAGTTATAGCACTAATTGATACCAATAGTGGTTGTACAACATTTTCTTCCAGAATATTAGTTATTGCTCCCTGCAAAATACAATTGAATAATTAGTTTTAGCATACTATGCACACATTAAAAAATTCCAACAATTACCTTTCGCACATTAATACCGGCAGTAACTTCACCTTGGGAGTGTCTATTACGTAACTCAGTAACTGTAGTGATGGGATTAAGACCAGCATTTTCAGCTAATGTTAAAGGTATGACTTCTAAAGCTTGTGCAAAAGCTCTGTAACAGTATGCATCGACTCCAGTAACCAATCTTGCAAGTTCAGCTAATTTTAAGCTGATTTCGATTTCAGGTGCTCCACCGCCAGCTAACAATGCTCTAAAATGGTTGGGATTTTATTGATATAAAAAGTATACCATTGATAATTCACTTTTCAACAACTCACCTATGTTTCACTAAACATCTGATAACACACAATGCATCATGAATTGAACGTTCAGCTTCTTCCAAGACTAATTTATTAGAACCTCGTACTATAATACTAACTGTCCTACCCGGGTTGTTGATGCCAGTGATTTGTACAAAATGGCTATTACCAGTCATGACATCTTCCACCAAGTCTGCTGATACTAGGTTTTCGGCAACAAAGTGATCAAGACTTGCAATTGGTCTACAATTCAATGTCTGGAATATAATTTTATCAAGTTATTTCTATGTTAAGATTTATTTTTACATTTCAAAAACATACCTTGCAAACATAATCAATATCTTCTCGCTCTATATTATTAATAACCATACATTTTATTTTGTCTAAGAAATGTATAGCCAATTCAGATAATGCATCACGCAATATTGACTTTTGAATCAATAAAACATTACAACCAGCTTTTTTGATTTGTTTAACAATGTTCAAAATATAAGCGCGTTCTTCACGCAATACACGGTCCATAGCAGTATAATCAGATACCACTACATTATAATCCATCTAAAATAAAAACAAAGTTAGTTATTAAAGCATTCTATGATAAACAAATTATGTATAAACTCATGACGTAAAATAATTTTAATAATTATGTGCAAGAACATAGATTAGAATTAAAGACTCAATAACAACTCTATAATTTAAATAAGTAAATTTTAACAGAAAACCCCCAACTAAGATAAACTACGATCTTCTGACAAGATTTAGTCAGTACTCCGATTAAAATAAGTTATCAACTACTATCAAGTTAACATCATTTCTATACAGAAATACATTTTTATTAGTTTCTCAGAATTAAACAGAACGTAACAATTTGATTACCACTTCATATAATCAGGAATTTAAGATAAATATATTACATAAGTTAAAACAAACATCATTGATATCAGAATTTAAAAATTCACTATCTTTGTAATTATTATTGATTGAAAATAATTCAATAATTACTTTTTCATTGTATATTAAAACCGCTGTTAATAATTATTAGATGATAAATGATGTATTATCAATTTAATCTATAATAATAAAAATTAACAATTTACAAAATAACAAATTTATCGTATACTTAAAAAAATACAAAGACATAAAATAAAAATTTTTACAGTATTATAATATAAGAAGATCAAAGTCTTATCATATTTTGAAGCATTATATAATTAACTATGTATGTATATAATAAATAACACAATTATGTAAAATGTTAATGATTAACACATTCACATTCAAAAATAAATAACATACAAATTATAATAGATAATACACATTTTATTTAGTACAGATCAATTATTTATTCATAGGTAAAACTTGTTTCTCATTACACATAAAACAATCTTTTAATATGATTTTCCTGACCAAAAAAACCATAGATAATGTAAGTGTCAATAATGATGTCCATTTCAATAATATTTCACCGAGATTAATACTAATAGAAGTCTGTTGTAAAGTTCTCTTTATGTCATCAGGTAGTTTGTCGACTTTTACTTCTATCCATGCTACTGGCAGTATAATTCCCTGTTTGAAATTTTTGAAATGCGATATTCCATCAGCTTTCTTTAACATGATATTCACTTGAAACCTGGATCGGCCTCCCAGGGATACTCCCAACTTAGAATGAACATCTAAAAAGGTCTCATGCAGTTCAGGATCAGGGGACAGTCCATGAATGTCTCTTCTTAGCTCAGGGTCGCCTAAATAGAAATGCGGAAACGACATTATTACTGGGGCGCCATTGCACGGAGATGAATTGAATACTCCCGATGGCGGAAACGTTTCTGAAGTATAATAACAGTCGTTATCTGGATTTGTGTTGGGTGTATCGAACACGTTTCTGGGTGCTTGAAAACGGAATGCCGTCACCCCGGGAACCGTTTCGATGTCTTCCTTGTAAACGAGTGGGAACCGACGGCACAGATCCATGTGGAAAACAAACAGTTTCGACTTGCGACTCAACGTGGTCGGCGGAAACTGAGACCCGTCACTTCCATCCAACCTGTTGCACTCGTCCGTCTTCCACACGTTCAGTGTATCCAGCCCGTTGTAGCGAGTAATGACGCCAAGCTTGTTTAGATTTCCGACACCACTGTGGATCGTGATGCGGTCGGGCGACATGCCGCGCCGTCCGGTAATTATTCCGAATCTTGACAGCCGAGCATCTCTGTGCACCGTCGACGCTAGACCTTGAGCCAGAGTGTATAAACTGTCCTCGTAACCCCAAAAATAGTCGTTAATCTTTAGGTGTAGGAACGGCTTTACCTTAAACCCGTCCAAAAACAGCGACATAAACTTTTGTGTGAGGTAAAACGTGTCGGCGCTCTTCGATATAGCGCTGATTAGCGGCAAGTTCGGTACAGTTATGGTTAAACGTTCCGGGTCGCCCTGAGACATTTCGGGTACGAACTCGTTACTCCTCCGCTCCTGGTACGTGACAGTACCGTTGGCGTTGAACTCTACGTTAATCCGTTCAACCGTTTCCCTGTATACGAACGGACCCAGTTCTTGGACTATGGGTGTATCGCCGTATTTCAATACCTGGTTGATGTTGGTATAGTTAAATGGATAAATCGACACGTACGGCTTGACGGACGGGTTTAGCCACATGTTGTATGAAGCACTACCCTGCGTTATGGTCACGAACTGTAAGATTTGAAACATGTAAAACTCCGTAAACCACATTATTATCGTAAATATTCCACTTAAGGCAATCAACACAACCAGCAACAGAAACCCGGAAGGTATGGAATTGTGACCGGTTTCGCAAAGCTCATGTTTCTTGGTCGACGAACGCTCGCGTTCCAGAGTCCCGATTTTTATGATACCACTATTGCAAAATTTCAGCTTTTCTAGTAATTTTACAGCTGACCAACCACTCGCGGAATTCATTTTCACATCGTTAGATTTATCACACGTTCCTTGCAGCATTTTGATCGAAATTAAATAATTTTCTACGATGTATAATTTACTATTCGAAAGGTTATTCACATAAAACACAACACTGTATTAATTCATTTTTACTATTAAAATAATATATTTATGAAACGTTGTTTCTTTACAACAATACTAGCGCAGTCATATTTCAATAAATAATAAATATATACTGATGTAAATTATCACTAATATTTTTTTTATTTCCTACGTGCTAGATAGATAAATAGACATTGGACTTGATAAACATTTACAGCTCAATGACAAATGGTTCGGTTCGGAATAGCTCATAATAAAAACAATGTTGAATAATAGTTAGAACAAAAGATTGAAATTGAAATCTTATTAAAGATCAAAGGGTATCAAGCATATAACAATATATTGTACGTCTTTAGTCAATATTCACACCTTACGAAGTGTTTCTGTTAAACACGTATTAAATCAATAACTTAAATAATGATTGAGGGAATATATTTAAATGGATAATTAATAAACATAACCTATATAAACATTTAATTAGGAATACATTTGTATAACGTTATTATGCACGTTAAAAACTTCAAAAATAATTTAAAAATAAAACTATAAAAGCACTCTTAAAAAAAATGTGATGTAACATAATATAATACTTTTATTTTTTATAATTAATCAGTTAAAGTAACATTAGACTAATATTACTTTTGTTATAAGTAGTAATCATACATTTCATATATCTCTATCTGGCATAAATCCATCATGTGCATAAAACTATGAATAATTTACGATAAAATAAATTTACAAATTTATCAAATCACAATTTATATTTATATTTAATACTACATTGTTAATAATTAATCTATCAAATTTTCAGTAGTCTTTATTAAGAGAACGTTCAGTATTTGTTGTATCTATATAACTAATGCAAAACATGGAAAATGTAATGTTCAAAAAAAATCTATTTTACTTTTATTCTACTTTAATATAATTATTGAGTGTATTTAATGTTACTAAATTTAATAATAAAAATAATATTGATGCACCCTAGAAAATATCCTTGCCATTAAATTTGATGATAGGTCAAAATCACTTCAATATTAAAATTATATGAAAATACATTGAACAAAATTTACTCAAGATACTTCTTATCATTAAAAAGACATAGATAACACATACCGGTATAACAACACTTGAAAAATTATACATAATTTATAATACCAAACAAAAAATAATAATAATTAAGAGTATTTAATTTTGGAAATAATTGTTATTTCAAAATTATGTAATGATGAACTAATTTACATGTGTAAAGATCATAATTTAAAAAAATACATTATAATATTACATTTTAAAATAAAATAATTAATATTATAATAATGACAACAAACATAAAAATCATAAAGGAATAATTTAAATAAACATAGAAAGATAAAATTGTTTATACTTTTATTTAATAAAAATATAAGAATAGAAAAAATTTTTACAGAAGAAATTTCTAGTTTTACTATACATATTTTTTCAATACAAGCAAAATTTAAAAAGTATTATCAACAAGAAACAATATAATATTTAAATACTAATAACTTAGATTTATAAGAACAAATCATTCGACAAGAGTTGTTAGTTAAGTGTCCTAAGGTTTGTATAACGTCATTAATGATATTTTGTTAACAGTACTTAATCATACATCTTTTTTAAATTGTTTTAAAATTTCAGAAAAAATATTATACTCAATCATCTGTAAAAATGTCGTACAGGTGTCCTAAGTTCAATTCATCATAGTCATTTAAATAATATTATTTTTTAACAATCAATACACTTCAGAGAAAGTTTCAAATCATACGATATAAATCGTAATTAGGTGTCCTAAGGCTTATATATCATCACATAGTAATTGATTAAAATAGATAATTTTAGTAACATCAGATTAAATTTAAATTAGAATCATAATTTTCATATGTCCCTATCTAGCTTAATGTCATCATATGTCACAGATATCATTATTAAACCTTAAATATTCATTAGCTTCTTTTAGACATTAAATAACTAAATATTTAACTTTTTAATATTCAGATAAAAAGCACAAATCATTCGACAAGTGTCGTAATTAGGTGTCCTAAGGCTTGTATGTCATCATTAAAGATATTTTAAAAATAAATAAATACTAATTGTAGATCTTTTTTAATTGTTTTAGACTTCAGATAGAATGTTATACTCAATCATCTTTAAAGATGTCGTACAGGTGTCCTAAGTTCAATTCATCATAGTCAATTAAATAATATTATTTTTTAACAATCAATACACTTCAG